CTGCAGTATATTTTCCAGTACCTTCTCTAAGTCTCCCTCTAAAAGGACTCAGCTGAAGAGGATTCATCCCCTCCGTGGGGAGATTATTTCACAACAGTCTCCCACCAGAGAAGGAGCTCTCCTGATTTTCATGCTAATGGTGTCTTGGTTTAATTGTCTATCACGCCTACTGATGCCTGTTATAGTGCTGCCTTCTTAGTCTGTGGTGCTACCCATACTTCAGACATCTGAAGGTATCTGTAAGAATATTTCCCTTGGGCATTGCAGAGCCTGGCTGTTGATATCAGCTCTTTAATTTTTCATCTTAAATCAGCCTCTTTAATAGTTTGTTTCTCTTTGAACTCCCATCACCTGACACTGGGGAGTCCAGAAGGGATGTCCTGGCTGCCCTTGACTAAAGGGGACTTTGCAGCTCCCTTTTCCGTGATGTGATGCTGCTGCACGTGTAGTTGGTAAAGCAAAGAGTCTCGGAGTAGTTGTGGTTGGCGGTCAGCACCCACAGAGCTTTGTAATGCCAGTGAGAGCTGGGAGAACTTGGCACCTCTCTGTGCCAGGCCTTTTAATAAGCAATCTGTTCCCAGGCACATGTATATGACATATGTCCTTGTGCCCACTAAATACCTAGAGCTTCTCCATCCATGAAAAATGTCTTTTTCAGAGGTTAGGCTGGTTTTCAGCAGGTTCTGCATGAGCCTGATAGAGATGCAGGACCATTGCTCTACTAGTTGTGATACTTCTGTTGTGGCTGCTTCCATCAAGGACTCATTCCATGGATGGAGGGAGTTCTGGGTTAGATGCAAAAATCCTGTGTTCTTTTGATAGGGATCAGTTTGGGGGCCTCATTTAAACTGATGTATTTTTCTCTGTGCCTTCATCCTACAGGTACCAGTGAGGTGATGAGGATGATTGTGGCCAGGAGTCTGTTACAAGAGTGAAGCCAGGAGCTGGTCTCCGGCCTCGGTGCACTCCATCGGCTGTAGCACTGTTGGTCTCTTCCCCACCCATAGACTCTTTTGGGAGTGCATCTGTGAGGATGTACCAGAAGAAGCTCTCTTGCTTATTTTCTGATCCCAAGCACAGCTGGATACAACCCACGTGGTGTCCCAGCTGCAGTCGGTGCCTGGCAGAGCTGCTGTTACTAGGCTGGTATAGAGGAGCCTGAAGATGCAAATCACAGACATGAATGCAAGCCTTTGTTCCCGTGTCTAGGTCATGGGCCTTTGCTGTTGCTCTGCTGCTGGAAAGAGTAGCTGGGACATGCAGGCCATTTCCTTGCTAAGTCAGGATTAAATCATCCGGCCCATCGTTTTGTGCACCCTAAGGCCAATGGGGAGGTGCAGCTCATTGCACAACCCTTCTTGGCATTAGCTAAATGCTTCCGAATCAACAAAACATCCCACTGGAATTACAGGGGGGCAAAGAGTTGCCCTGTTGAACCCAGTGTCTTTCTGTTCTGCAGCACAAAGGGGAGGTCAGCCGTGAAGCCTGCCTCACTTGAGGTTTTATGAAGGTCAGCCGGCAGCTTGGATCTAGGGCAGCCAGCGGGGGACGGGGGACGCTTGGTGCTTACCGGAATCACTGCCTGGTGCTTGTTTAGCATCACAGCTCCTTCTGCTTCTCCAAGACAGCGTTGCTTGGTGCTGCCAGCTCCCATTTGATACGCTCCCAGCTCAGGTGCATGGTGGCAGGGCGGTGAGCTGCAGGGCAGGGGCGCGGATTACCAGGACAGCTGTGGAGCTGCAGTGCAGTGGAGCGTGGGGGCCAAGTTAAAACTTTGATTGTTTGCACTTTTTTTTGCACTTTTTTCTTCTTCTTGGCCTTGGAATCAATAAAGTGTGGACGTCCCATTGGAACGGGTCTTGCAGGCTCCATGCATTCACTGCGCTTTTCCTGTCCCGCCAGCAAAACCCTTGCTGCTTGACGGCAGTTTAAAACAGCAAGACCTGGACCTGAGTCCAGCGGGTGCGCTGGGGAAGGCCCCTGCGGGGGGAAGGCTGCGTCTCTCCACAGCCCCCCAGCAAGCGCTGCTGCCTGTGCCTTTCGCAGTCTCCGGGCTGCAAGCAGCACCCTGGGCTGAGCCTGGGGCCCAGGTCCTGTGCACAGCGCAGGGGTAGGGTTACCATACATTTGGGTTTTCCCAGATGTGTCCTCTTTTTAGATCCTCCGATCTTGTTCCAGGTGGGTTTTGTTTTGTTTTAAATATGATCAAGTGTCTGGGGTTTCGGTCAACTCAAGTTTTCCCTGCACTTCCTGACTTGCCCTAGCAAGGAGCTGCTGGCAGGGGGTGGTGATTGGAGGCAGGGTGCACAGACCTGGTCAGCAGGTGGCCGGGCAGGGGGTGGGAACAGCTGGATACAGATAAGTCTTGGGGGGTTGGATGGCCAGGGCTTGGGGACTGTCTGGGGTGG